AAGCTGTGCGGGAGAGAAAATCAAAGACCGGGCTTTGAGGAACCATGCTGCAACACGATATCGCCTCTTCACATACCTGCCTTAGAACAAAAGCATTTATTGAGGAATCTGGTGTTGTAACTCTAAGTCACCCACCCTACAGCTCTGACTTGGCTCCTTGTGATTTCTTATTGTTCCCAACAGTCAAAGAAAAAATAATAGGCAAGTTTTTTTCAAGCACCGAAGAAGCCGTAACTGCCTACGAAGAAGCGATTTCCGACCTGTCAGATCAAGACTGACAAAAGTATTTTCAAAGTTGGTTTAGACAAATGGAACTTTGTATAGGGCATGATGGAGAATATTGTGAAAAGGTGTATTATAAATAATAATAGTATCTAAAGTACTTTTTGTATATCTCAAAACTTATTGAGTATCCCACGTACTATAAAAATAATTATAATGCAATGGCGACATTTTAACCATATTTTCAGTTCTATCTAGTTTTTAGCTCACCCGAAAGTTATTTTAAAAATCGATTAGAAAATTTGTACCAAGCAGAACCGCAAAGAAAGTAAACCGAAAAAAAAACAATATAATAAAAACGTTGTAATGATAACATACTAAAATCAGTAAAAACCTTTTTGCGTAAAGGTTATTCTACCAAAATTTGTTGACATTTACCTAAAGCATAAAATACCCGTTCGAGCATGTTATTTACAAAGAGAAAATAATCGAAAATAAATAAGTCTCGTCTCGAATCCATATACCCCGGCCCGAAAACAGTCTTTCCGAATATCATTCACATTAATTTATTTATCCTCTGACATGTAAAGGTAGAAAGTCCTAAAGTGTAATAATTTCATAGTCATTTTAAGAGCTCATTATTTATAGAAGTAAGAGCGTAAGAATACAGTCCAACTGATGGCAAGTAATATTTCATATACGAGTGTACCAACCCTGTGTCGTCGCTCATAATTTCGAAACAGCAGCATTACATATGCTATAGTGTTTTACGCTGGTATTCTGCGTGTTTTAAAAGTGTTGGCGGTGTTAGAATATTCACTATCCTATATCGTCTTGAGACGTTCGTAAGAGGCGACAGAAGGAAACTGATTGAAAAAAACTAATTATACGGATTTAATCGCGTTTAATTTACTTATTTTTAATTCCCGACGTTTCGGGTACTTTACAGAACCCATGTACATGGAGGGGACTGAGATATTTGATTTCCCAATGCCATAGTTAGCCCGGCTACCTTCAGTTTTTGAATATTAATTTTTGTTCCGATCTACGCAGAACGAGCTTACACTGTCTTTGAAGTCTTGCAGTGGTATTCTTGGGTTTGGGTTTAATTTTGTTAATTATAGGATCCCAAGCAGATAACTGAAACCATCCATCTTCTCTATTGAAATTAGGATGTTTTTTAATTTCAATAGCCTGACGTATCATCCTTGGTACGAATCGGTGTTCTTTTGTGGTTTATCAAATCTGATGTAATGGTGGGGACGATCTTGAACATGTTCACAGACTGCAGACTTCTCGGCGCGTCGGTTCCTTCCGTCTTAAAATCCGTATAAATAGTTTTATTTAATGTGCAGTGTTCGAAAATTTAAGAAATCATTATAGAATGAAATTGAAACATATAATGGACGGCAGCATGTTCATAATAACAACAAAAATTATTAAAAAGCTGCGCTTGCTAAATCCTCCGGAGGCAGTCTACGTGGGGGGCCTATTTTCAGCAGTAGACTTTTGTAGGGAATGGATGATGGATGAATCAGCGAGAGCTTCGTAGCCTTACCCAGATCGAATCAACAATTTCGTGCTGCAGCTGCAAAAAGCTGGACTGTGCCGCATAAATTGTGTCATATTGTAACTTACACAACGTTGACTTGTACAATGTGAAAAGGATTACTACCTGTTACAATACAAAATATAAGAACTAAGAGATTTATTAATGGACTAACAAATAGAGACAGTGAGAGTGCCACGTACATTTAAAATGACGCTAAAATTATGATCAACATCTGGATACTCACTCACGCACACAGCTTTCTCCTTTTATAGCCTGTAAAAGTCCAATACGAGACGCACACATATGCACCTAAAAAACCATGTTGCTTTTTGCAATTTGATTTTATATACGTGAAAAACATAATATTCAGTGCATATTACATTTATTTCATTACTATTTATTTTATATACATTCTCACTGCTTTATAATTAAAATGTAACGTTGCTACAATATTAAAGTACTCCCTGAAATTTTGTTAACAAGTTAATTATTGTAAAATAGGCGAGCTTGCTACTAATTAACATACTGAATAGGCGGATTATATCGTGAATTGGTGTAGAGGGTTGTCGATGTATAATTATAAAGTAGAGGCAAATTGAACCAAGATAAGTAGCTTTTATATCATGACTGATAACCTCTAGGAATGAGATGATCGCTACCATGCTGCTTCTAAACTTTTTCATATTTAATTTCGCAACATATTGTATTGTAAAATTTTGGTGTGACTGGTAGATAATGCCATAAGGCATTAAGTTCGCCCATTGTAACCCTTAGTTTAAGGTGTAACACCATAAAGATTTAATAAATAAATAAAATTGTTATTTGCTGTTCTATTCTATATGCAGTTACACAATAATTAACTGCCGTGTGGTATGGTATATTGAAATAAAGTTGTTACAATATTTTCGAAGCCCCTGGCTCTCGGCCTAGGTAAGAAAACCTGTGTTAGGAAAGCTAAATGATTATATGTAAATAAAGCAATTTTAATGTATTCATGTATGTGCGTGCGTGAGTGCGCGCGCGTGAGCCTGTGTGTGCGTGTGTGTGCGTGCGTGCGTGCGTGCGTGCGTGCGTGCGTGCGTGCGTGCGTGTGTGTGTGTGTGTGTGTGTGTGTGTGTGGGGGGGGGTGTGTGCGTGTGTGAATGTGTAAGCATATTTACCGTCCCATCGGGTTATGAGAGTGAGGGAATAGAGAGTGCACTTGTGCTTGCGCATACGCTTGGGCACTATAATCCTGTCCTGCGCCGATGTCTAGCCTCCGTTGAGGCAGGCCGCCGTGGCTAAAATTCGGTATAGAGGACATTATTATTATTATAAGAATATCCATTATGGAAAATATACACTATATGTATGCGGAAGGCCTATGTTCAACAGTGAATTTTTATTTGCAATGGATTCCGCTATCTACCGGAAGCCTTAAGGCTAACGTCATTAAATACGTAGGGTAAACATTATAATGATTGGCAGCTTTGCACTCACTGCGATTAAACGCACGCGTTTTATCGCACGTCTGAAATCGCAAAAAATGTAACACAGCTTTTTATACAAGCGCACGCATTAGCGACTTTTTCAGTAACTGATTTGAAAAACGTAACTTGCTACATTTGGATCGCGGTTTGTAAGCGTACGATTTTTGCGTGTCCCATAGTAGTAGCACAGTATATACATCCATAATTATGTCTTTATTATACTGTGGTAGTAGTATGGCAGCGCACGCACGGCGGTTAACCGCGTTCGGTTTTTTATTCAGTCTCGACTCGCAAAAGTATTCTACTTATTGCGGCGCCGTTGTTTACGTTTTTTAATTTAAAAAGCAAAGCCACAACACACACTAGTCGCGATATATCCATGGTGGTACCGAAATTAAATTAAGCAAAACGCCGAAGTGCGTGCTAATAAGGCTTATTAAGCACACATTGAACGCGAGTGGAATACTACGCCCAGACAATCACACACTGCGGTTGGCGTTTTGCTTAATTTAATTTCAGTACCACCATGGATTTCCCGCTGTGTGTGCGCTGCCACAGTATAATAAAGACATAATTATGGATGTATATACTGTGCTATTACTATGGGACACGCAAAAATCGCGCGCTTACAAACCGCGATCCAAATGTTGCAAGTTACGTTTTTAAAATCAGTTATTGAAAAATGTCGCTAATGCGTGTGCTTGTATAGAAAGCTGTGTTACTTTTTTTGCGGTTTCAGACGTGCGGTTAAACTCGTTTAATCGCAGTGAGTGCAATGCTACGAATCGTTATAATGTTTACCCTACGTATTTTCTTATGCAAATTTGTATATGCATAAGTGAATACATAATCCTATTTAGTCTCTTTGGTGTTGTAAGAGGTGAGGGTGGGAAATGTCAGAAAAACCTTAAGGTTTCCGGTAGATAGCGGTATCCATTACAACCTATAAAAATTTACTGTTGAACATAGGCCTTCCGCATACGTATAGTATATATGTTCTATAATGGATATTCTTATAATAATAATAATGTCCTCCAGAAAGAATTTCGGGCACGGCGGCCTGCCTCAACGGAAGCTAGACATCAGCGCAGGACAGGATTATAGTGCCCAAGCGTATGCGCGAGCACAAGTGCACTCTCTATTCTCTCACTCTCATAACCCGATGGGACGGTAAACCGACACCACCGGAGAAAGATCAGGCCCGGACCAACGGCTTTACGTGCTTTCCGGGGCACGGGGGTGAGACACCGCCAACTTCCTCACTCCGGGCAGCTACTGAGAATTTATTGACAGAAAAACTCAATAATTGATTTTTTGGCCCGACCCGGGATTCGAACCCAGGACCTCATGATCAGTAATCGCACTACTACAACCACTAGACTAACGAGGCAGTCATATTCTTACACCGCTACTAAACGGATAGAAGGATAACTATCTCGTATATATCAGATATAAAATATCTAGCTGGCAACGGTCAGTATTGCTAAGTTTGTACGTCTAGTACTGCGCTCGTTAAACCGCCTGCCGACGATTAAATTAGAGAGAGAGAGAGAGAGAGGTAGATGTCCAGCTACAGACTTTTAGACACAAGGTTATAGGGAGCATTATCAGTATCAAGCCATCCTTATCATTATCAGAAAATTTTAGCAAGAATATTTTTAGTCGATGATAGATATAGACGTCTATGGGCCATTAACCAGCACATGCGTACTCGTTTGTTACTAGAATTCTACAAAAAAGTTTCAATAACTACTTACTTGCAACAGCGGCTCGGGAACTGGGATCTGCCAGTTGAATTCGAACTTTTTAGTCATCGTGCGATGTGGATTTTAACGCTGCGCCCACAATTTCTTCTTGCAGTTTAGCAATTTTCCATCTTCAGCCCTGTAAAGAGTGAAAATATAAGTATTATTAAAGACTTCCTTTTGGTCGGTTTTGAAGACGGTACTACAAATTCTTAGCGAATATAACATTAACGTTGTAGCCAGCGTATACTATTCTGTCGTTAATTCTGTACTCGAAACACAGCAACCCATTTATGAGCACGTATATAAGCATGCAAGAAATGTTTTTTTTTGTGTATATATGTACCAATACAAGGCCTAATACTTTGACATGCTCTATAGCCTATGGGAGTGCTTTGTCGAATTGTTCGGAAAAGTCCGCCAAATCACGAACGCACATCGCGAAAAAATTCACGATACCATCCACACCATATGATGTTTGGCGGTCCACCACTGTAGGTTTTACTAGGAGTTTTATTCATCGCACAACCTCTTTGTGAAATTGTTTATCCCTGGCGATTTTTACCGACCGATACGACTTAGGCACCTTCAAGAAAAGGGTTTACGCCTTTCTAAAAGTGTGGCAACGTAGCAAAAGCCCTCGTATTGTAGTTGTTCATGGACGACGGTAGCCTAGTTTGAATTGTATTGTACTGGCAACAATTTGTTTGTTTTACTTTATAAAGTACAATTCAGTGTCTGTCTCCATTAAAACTTCAATTAAAAAAATATATAGTTTTACTGTGCCGCAACCGTAAAATTAATGTCCTAAACATATCCCAAGCCCAAGCGGTTAAATGGGTTTTTACACATAGGATGTGGTTAAACACGTCTTAGTTTTGAAAGTGACATAGGCCTTAAAATTATTCTCTTTCGAGTGAACATTTTAATACAGACGGGTGTTTTAATTACTGTTTTATTCATAAGGTTTGTGTTTCATGGTGAATTGGAATATACCAAAAAGCTCAGACCGAAGTCCTATCTTTAAAACCAACAACTTTAAATCCACGACTTTTTTAAAAACTTAATACTTTTTGAAATAATGCTAATTCTTTTTTTTGGAAATTCTTTTTTTATGGGATAAGGATGATAAACGGGAACACAGTCAACCTGATGGTAAGTGGTTGCTGTGATCCATAGACATCTACATCTATCCTCGATTACGAATCAAAATACAGATGCGTTACCATCCGTGAGGACTAAAATAGAATGCCTCATTTCCAGTAAAAAGGGCCTCCGGTTCTATACACTCATCATACGAAACAGCAGAGCTGCTGTTTTACTCTTGTATTTTATGAGAGCGTGGCCCTTCCTCGATCGAGCCGATCCATTTGTGCTACAACTATACCTGCAATATGGTTGCAGCATGTCTCTATCACAATAAAATTCTGTATTATCATCACACAATACGAGGGCGGCTCTGAAAATTTCGGGAATCAAGGAAGTGACACAACATTACTATTTAAAAATGTATTTATTGCTTTTCGAAGTATTCTCCGCGAAATTTGACACATTTTTCCATACGATGGAACCAATCATTGAAGCAACCATTCCATTCGGAAGTTGGGGTCTCAAAAATGGCCGTTTTGTAGGCGTCCACAGCTTCTTCAGGTGATGAAAATCTCTGTCCACGCAAATTATTCTTTATTTTAGGGAAAGTATAAAAATCATTAGGGTTTAGGTCGGGGCTGTATTCTATGTTTTCTTGCTCTAAAAACTCTTTTGTTCTGTGTGCGGTGTGAGAACTCGCATTGTCGTGATGGAGGATGATGCGGCGGTTGCAGTTCTCTTTACGGAGTTCAGAAACGACCTGTGGCAAACAAATGCTAGCATACCATTCTGCATTAACCGTTCATTGTCCCTCAAGAGGAATAGTCGTAACATGGCCGGTTTTGGAGACAAACGTGGCCAACATTTTTTTTGCAACACTCCGTGAACGAACAATTTTTGTTGGCTTTAACTCATTTTTGAACACCCAAACTCGTGACTGGTTTTTTGTTTCGGGTTCGCACGCGTATATCCAGGATTCGTTGTATACAGCATTTGAGGATCCTGTGTGGAATCTTTCGAGAGTTCTGAAGCACCAAGTAACGCGAGCCGCTTTTTTGCTCTCCACAGAGCGAATGCGGTATCCATCGGGAAAACAACTTTTTTACACCTAATTGTTCATGCAAGATTATTTGTATTTGACTCATGCCAATATCTCAAGTTGCCTGAATTTCGCGGTATGTCACATGTCGATCTTCCTCAATCAGCTTACGCACAGCATAAACGTTTTCTTGGGTGACTGCAGTTTTTGGACGACCTTGACGGGGATCATCACTGAGCTTGACACGTCCACGTTGAAATTCAGAAAACCAGCGATAAATTGTGGTTTTGGATGGGGCTTCATCACCAAATGCAGAAATCATCCGGTCAACACACTGTTTTTGTGATAAATCACTTCGAAAGTCATAATAAATCATCGCTCTTGAATTTTCTCAAGTCAATTCCATATTCTCAACGACTAAACAAGTTTGACAAAACCTTGTGACAAGACCGAGAATCTTTTTTTTAAATACATAAATGGTATTCGATTTTTAAAACCAAGGAGTTTTCAATTAAAAAGATTTTAATATGACAGGAACAGTGGAAATATTCCATTCCCGATACTTTTAGTGCAGCCTAGTACCTGCACGTATTCGCAGCCTTGCAGTATTCAACATTATTACATATTTATTGCAAGGTATCTCTACAGAATAATATTCATTTTATCATTGTTACCGCCTCTCAAAAGTCAACTGGTGAACATAGGCCTCCCTCATAGATTGCCTCATATTTGCCACAGTTGCCAGGCCTGGCAAGTTTTTTTATTTCGGATTAGGGTGACAAACGAGCATACAGCCTACCTGATGGTAAGTTGATGCTGTGGCCCAAAGATCTACATCTACATTTAACCTCGATTAAGAATCAAAATGCAGATGCGTTGTCACCCGTGAGGACTGAGATGGAATGCCTCGTTTCCAGTAAAACGGGTTTCCGGTTCTCTACACTCACTATATGAAACACAGCAACAATAAGCTGCTATTTTACGACGGTATTCTGTGAGAGCGTGGTCCTTCCCCGGTTGAGCCGACCCATTTATGCTACAACCAAAATATAGCTGCAGCGTGGCTCTACCACGTATATAAAGTGAGTAGGTAACCGCAGTTATTTTTATTCAACTGTTATCAGGAAGGTCCTGCTGCCGATCTCTTGTATCAGCTTCCCTTTGTCTTCTCTTACGACACCCACAGCTTTACATAGTGTAGTGGATATTCTTACACCGTCACTATAAGGTTATCAATCACAGATAAAAAATAATACTGTTAGATTGTATGGAAAATTTTATCAAATTTTCCATAAAATCGTTGAACTGAAGTTGTTGGTTTTAAAGGAAGGAATTACGGTTTGAGAGCTATGGCTGATGCTGCTGGATCGCCTCCATTGAAGAAAAAGACAAAAATCTATCTTATCTGAATTAACCACGTCTCAGACCTTGACCGATGTGACTTCAAACATGCGTTGGGGTTCCTATGGTTCATGGTACAAAAAAGAAACAAAAGGTTTACAGCATGTAATAATATTGATATACTCCATAATTAGTGAAATGTAGTGTAGACTATAAAAATATAGGTAACAATATATAAGACATAAACTTCTAAAAATCTTTGATCATGGTTTCGTATACTGTGATTAAAAGTAACAATTTTCAATTTAATTAGTAAATAAAAATATGGTGATTGGCACAAAGTAAAAAATAAATGAAGAAAAATAAAATGTTTTTAAAATAATGACGGTGATATCATGCACCTATGACATCAGGACCATAAAAGACAAGACTTCTTTTCTTTCCGGTTTTGGTATTGTTATGGTCTAATCGAAGAATCATTGTCCACACCAGTATTTATTAATTTAATTATTTACTATTTTTATTGCTTGAAATATTGTACACTTAGTACCCAAATAAAAATATATAGTGGATGTCTCTAGTCGGTGTTACTCAATCTCAATAGCAGTTAATACGATATGTTACCGAACCTTGAATATTCAATTAAACTCGGCATAGACTATTTGAGAAGCTTATACATGTTGCCGTTTGACCTATGACCCGACTTGACTTGCACGTAGTAAATTATTGTAGACATAGTCCTAAAAATAATCATGGACATGTTCACAAGGTGACGTAGCTAGATTTTATCACATTTTTACTTTTATTTTATTTATAGTAAAATAGAGTAAATGGGGCCCTGCACTCTATTGTGAAGAGTCAAAATGTGTCGAAAAAGGCACGTATGGCAATTCACAATGCTGTGTTGGTCCCTACTTTAACATATGGTAGTGAAAGTTGGGTGTGGCAGAAGAAGCACGAGAGTAGAATGAACGCAGTAGAAATGCGGTCGTTAAGGAGTATGTTAGGGCTGAATCTTAATGACAGGGTAAGAAATTGTGTAATAAGAGAAGAGTGTGGTTTGCAAGATGATGTTGTGACCAGGATTAAGAAAGGAATGCTTCGGTGGTTTGGTCATGTGGAAAGAATGAATGAGGAAAGAGTGACAAAGAAAATTTATGTTGCAGAAGTGAATGGCAGAGTCGGAAAGGGACGTCCTAGGCGAAAATTTATCGACCAAATTGGCGATTTATTGAAAACGGGCCAAATTAGGAGTACCCTTAACCGACGAGCATGTATGCGGAGGTGTATGGATGTGAAGGAGGCGAGAGAGGTGTGTCAGGATCGTGCCAAATGGAAGTCTGTAGTCTCTGCCCACCCCCCTGGGTGACAGGCGTGAGTGTTTATGTTTACGTTTATGTTTATTTATAGTTAATATTAATACAATAAAAAAACAAAAATTTTAAAATATTAAACGAAAAAGGAAAGCAATTGATGCTTTCAATATTTATTTTATTCTATCCAAATAAACTTTTTATTTTAATTTTGAACAAGTTAATTTTCTTTATAAGAATGGTCATCGTGTAGTGGCGTTGTAAGACTATCCACTATCGCGTATCAT